TTCTGAATTGACTAGTTCTGTGCCAATTATTCCCTGTATAAGTGGATTTTTTTAGTTTATAGAGTATTAGGTAGAGTGTTGAGGTTATCTGGAGCATGTGTCAAATATAATGGAGACAAAAGTATATTCAGAGAAGACATGACTATAAATAGAGGAACCGTCAGGAAACTCTGCTGTGCATTTATTATTTTTTTAAAACAGAGTCTTGCTCTGTCACCCAGGCTGGGGTGCAGAGGTGCAATCTTGGCTCACTGCAACCTCCACATCCCAGGTTCAAGTGATCCTCCCATTTCAGCCTCCTGAGTAGCTGGAATTACAGGCATGTACCACTACATCCAGCTAATTTTTGTACTTCTTTCTTTCTTTTTTTTTTTTTTTTAGGTAGAGGCAGGATTTTACTATGTTGGCCAGGCTGGTCTTGAACTCCTGACCTTAAGCGATCTGCCCACCTCAGCCTCCCAAAGGGCTGGGATTACAGGTGTGAGTCACCAGCACGCTGGCCAGTACATTTACTATCACAATTCTATTTGAACATTAAGTTACTCCCTATTAAATTTGCAGGGGTGTTATAATAGAGCAGGGAGAAATGTTTTTAAGTCAAGTACCCAGGGGTCACAGAGTAGGAGATAGAAGGAATCTGTGGGTTATTTGAGGTACTTGCTAGCTGTTTACTATGAGGAAAATGTTGAGCAAAGTTGCCAGGGTTTAATGTAGACAGAGTAGCCCCCAGATTCTCTTGAATCCAGGAAGTGGAGGTTGCAGTGAGCCAAGATTGCACCTCTGCACCCCAGCCTGGGTGACAGAACAAGACTCAGTCTCAAAAAGAAAGAAAGGAAAAGAAAGAGTAGTGCCCATATTTCCAGGAATTGCTGAGTTTCGCCACCTATATTTATGACTAATTTACCTTGAATGTTAAATTGTAAATCAGGATACTGGGTACCCTCATTGATCTAAATTAAGGGATTTTTTGGTCTTATTTTTACCGGAAAATTGTTTTTCAGGTGTCCCTTCTGTTGTCTGTATCTGCAGGTATCCTCTTCTATAGGTTGTCCACATGGCTGTTTGATTTGTAGGGCCATAAGTTTATTCCTGATCCTGTCTTGTTATTGCTCTCGGGCTCTGTAAAAATGTCGGCCAGGTGTTGAAGTTCAGATAAAGTGGCTAATTCCCATTCTAATTTTGATCTAATTATTGTCTCCAATTTCAGGTTTAAGTTCATTAACAAAATAGAAAAAAGAGCCACAATTACACTGATACTTCTTTAAAACTCAAATGTTATTGAAAGGAATTTTCTAGTCTATTCAGAAACTCTCCTATAATTTCTTTTCTTTATTTACACGATTTTATTATGGTCCATTTTTTTACTAGAAATGTTTCAAGTAAGGCTTTTAGCATAGATTGCCCTGCTTTTTGAGCCTCCTTTTGGCCCTCAGGTTTATTGTGGAAAGAAAGATCCTATAGATCTCTGTCCTAGTCAGTCCAGCTGGCTTTTGCCATCAGGATTTAATGTCTCAGGATCCACAAACATAAATACAAGTTCATACAGTTCAGGTAACCCTGAGTTGTGTACACTTAAAAGAATTTTGAATTCTGAACTCCTTTGGGAAATGCTTAATCATAGCTTTTAATTCCACTCACTTTCAAGGTTTAAATTCTATTGCTGCTTCTGTATTTGGGTCATTGAGGAGGTGGAACTTTAGAGGAAAATGACATTGCAGATCTTAGGAGAGTCACTGGGAGAGGGAAGGGTGTCTGGAAGAAGAGGGAGGCATCAATGAGGTGTGAAAGGAGGATGGGGGATGAGGAAGAGTTGCAGAGCTGAAGTCAACTGGAGGAGAAGCTGGGGGAAGAGTTCCTGGGCAAATGAGTTAGTTTGCTGTCAAGTTTGTCATACTGTTTATTAGTTTTAGCCAAAAAATATTTTAGCAGAGCAATGTCTGATTCAGAATTTTATTTGAAAACTTTTGTACCAATCAAAAACTGATGCCATTGGCCCAGAGAAATATTACTCTCTTTCTTTTCTAACATGTTTTTCATATGAACAATTTTCTTCAAGTCCAATGTTCTCCAGAGTGACCACTGAAGGCCTGAATCATTTTTGGTATAGAGATGGACGCAAGTGCTGGGATCATAGCAAGGGTACACCTAAGAAATGGGAAGTTTTCCTGGAGGAAGAGCGGATTTACACTCAGAAAATTCCATGAGAGCTGGTAACAGTCCGTTGAAAGTAATATTTATGCACTTTATGTTTTAGGTCCCCAACCTGAGAGTTGGCAGCCTCCAAATGCAGAATTGACAACTTGTGCTCACAGACAGATGGAAATCCAGAATGTTACCCCTGGATCAAATCCAACCTCTCAGGACCCCAAAAAAAAAAAAAAAAAGATAGATAGACAAAAGAACCTCATCCCATTTTTACTGACAGGAAAGTCTGTCCAGATGGATGCTGGTTTGCTAAGGGTTGTAGCTCATCAGTTGTGGGGCGAGCTGAGACACTCTTAGAGGAGCAATGCCTGTTCTACACTGTGATTCTTCTGCCAACAAACAATGCTTTAGACATATCTCACAAAACAGAAGCACAAAAGAGAGCAAACAGGAATGAAAAGGAATGGCCATAATCTTCCAAGGATGCCAAACAAATGGGAATTGGTAGCAAAATCTAAGTACGAAGTTGAAAGTGAATACAGAGAACAGAGTTGAAGCCCAATTCCATTCTCCCACAGACTTGCTGTGTCAACACAGACTTGAAAGGACTCAAGAAGCAAGGTGCAAGAGGCCTTCATAGATACTGCACCTGATCAGGGTCCAAAGTCCACGGTAATGAGTAGTTAAGAATGTGTCTCGGTGGAGCTTCCAGGAAAATTACAGAAATACAGGCTAGGCGTGGTGGCTCATGCCGGTAATCCCAGCACTTTGGGAGGTCAAGGCGGTTGGATCACCTGAAGTCAGGAGTTTGAGACCATCCTGGCCAACATGGTGAAATGCTGTCTCTACTGAAAATACAAGAAAATTAGCTGGGCATGGTGGTGCGTGCCTGTAGACCCAGGTACTCTGGAGGCTGAGGCAGGAGAATCACATGAACCTGGGAGGTGGAGGTTGTGGTGAGCCAAGATCACACCACTGCACTCCAGCCCGGGTGACAGAGCAAAACTCCATCGCCCCCCCCCCCACAATTACAGAAATAAACGAGACAACTTAATGAGAACAAAAGCTATTTATTTCTTGCTTGCTAGAGAAAGGGAGACAGTCATTGTCATTTATATTTGGCAGAGACTCAAATGCTGGGAGAATGGGAAAGCTTTACAGAGAAAAAGAACAAGAAAGAACAAGGCTTTGGTAGGAGGCTATGGGCATGGAGAGGCTGGAGGCAGGCTAAGCAGAAGCATGGCATCTGATGGGACAGGTTGGGGAGAGTATTTGGCTTTCGTTGATTAGTACTAAACTGGAGGCAGGGGTTATCTTAGCGACGTTGGCAGTCATTGACCAACCTCTGATTGTTTTGGGCAAATTGCTGCAGAATTTGTGGCTTGCATTCCTGAACTGGCTGCTGCAGAGACTGTAGTTTGCCTTCCCAAGCCAGTTGCTGCAGTAGTTGTGGGTCAGAGTTCCATTGTCGTACGTGGTTTGGCCACTGTTTTAATATTCAGTGTCTATTACTGAAAGGTATACAAACAGCCAGGCTTCCCATTTCAGTACTTCATATATGTTTGGTAGAAAGTCCCGCCATCTTTCCCCCAGGTTTCTTGCCCCCACCCTCCCCCCAGGCTTCCTGCTGCCCTGAGAAAAGCCCGCCAAGCCTGCTCTGTTCTGCCCAGCAACAACAAGCAGCCAATCATCGCAGCAGGAAAGCCCGCCAAGCCTCGGCCTATCCTGAACCGACACGTAACCCTCTGAGCCACCTCAGCAGTCTGCCCAGAGACAGACAGCCTATCCTAAGCTCCTACGACACTCCGCCAGCCCTGTGTCCACGCCCCGTCCACCCCCCTATAAAACCCTCCTACCCCAGCTGCGCAGTCGCAACCAGCCCCGATCTCCTTCCTTTCCTGGCCTGCCCGCTGGTCCCAATAAACCTGAACTCGGCTTCCAACCCTCGAGCTGTTATTTGGGGTCAGGAACCGGGCAGGGGTCTACAAGGGGGTCACACATATGGTGCCGAAACCCGGGACGGAGGGTTGCTAGCCCCCCTAGCGACCCCCTCCCTCCAGCGACCTCCCCAGCCCTCCTCCAATTCGGCCTCAGCACTCCAGACCAGGTAAGTCCTGTTTCTTACCTTCTCCTTCCATGGTGCGTGTGGCAAAGGCCCTTCCTCTCAGTCCCAATCCACGGATCCCTCGCCAAGCGCCGGCCGGCCCGAGCAGGATCCCCCAACCAGGCTCCAGGAGCCTTGGGTCGGCAGACAAGGGACGCCTTCTCTGACCCACCCAATCCAAAACCATTAAATAGGAATGATCAGACAGGGGACGCCTTCTCTGGTCCTTCCTATCCACCTTCCTCTGGGGAAGCTGGTGGGTTGGAGGGACGCCTCCCCCCACACTACCCCAGCCCACTCGGATACTGTTCCGAGCTCGGATACTGTTCCGAGACCGCCCTCGGCTGGCAGGAACCCTTTGCCGCACGCATCATGGGGAACGTGGAGTCCAAAATTCCTAAAAACGCCCCACTAGGTTGTTTACTTCTCGACTTTACCCGCTTGGGCTACTCCCAAAACCCTTAGACGGAAAAAGCTTGTCTTCCTCTCCCAGGTGGCCTGGCCCCAGTATCAGCTCGATAACAGGTCGCATTGGCCTCCCACCGGCACTTTCGATTTAACTGTGCTCCGCGACCTAGATAACTTCTGCCGCCGAACTGGCAAAGATAAGGAAGTGCCTTATGTTCAGGCTTTTTGGGACCTGCGTTCCCATCCTGACCTCTGCTCTTCTTGCTCCACTCACCAAGTTCTTTTAGCCCGAACTCCCCCACCACAGACTCCTACCTCCCCAACCAAGCCACCTCCCTATACTCTAAAGGAAGAGATGCCTGACCACATGTCTTCCCGCTTTGTTCCCACTCCAGAAGTCCACTACCTCTCCCCCTCCCTACTCCTCACCGGAGGATCTGCCTGAACATCTATCCTCTCCTGCCAATCTCAGCAACCAGTCGCCATCAACAGCACACTCTTCCTCTGCTCCCTCTGCACCTCCTACCTCGGAGGCCATGCCTCGCTCTCCCTCTACTCCCTCCGAGCCCCCTCCCTCAGAGGCCGCACTTCCTCTCGCCTATCCAGTGGCGGCCCACACCCGCTCCCACCAGCCAGCTATCCTGGCCCCACTCCGAGAAGTAGCAGGCGCAGAAGGTTTAATCAGGGTCCATGTTCCTTTCTCACTCCAAGACCTGTCCCAAATTGAGAAACGTTTAGGATCCTTCTCAGCCGACCCGTCCACCTATATTAAGGAATTCCAATACCTCACTCAAGCCTACAGCCTCACTTGGCATGATATTCGCATTATCTGTTCCTCCACCCTCACAGTGGAGGAGCACGAGCGCATCCTCGCTGCAGCCAGAAACCAAGCAGATAAAGACCATGCTATCGATAACCAGATCCCCCTAGGCCCCGAAGCAATCCCAGGTGAAGACCCCCAATGGGACTATCAGGCTAATCGAGGGTCTGATATACCCAAGAGGGACAGCATGATTAGATACCTCCTCAGGGGAATGGATGCTGTATCTAACAAAGTTGTAAACTATGATAAACTGAGAGAAATCACCCAACTACCTGATGAGAACCCCGCCCTCTTTCTCGCTCGCTTGTAAGAAGCCCTAGTCCGGTATACTCGACTAGATCCAGCCCCTCAAAACGGGGCCACTGTATTAGGCTCCCATTTTATCTCCCAATCAGCACCCGACATAAGAAAGAAACTAAAGAAAGCAGAAGAGGGGCCAGAGATTCCCATCCAAGACCTGGTAAAAATGGCCTTTAAAGTATTCAGTGCCAGGGAAGATGCGGCTGATGCTGCCCGCCAAACTCGCATGAAGCAGAAGGCTGCCCTCCAGACCCAAGCCCTAGTGGCGGCTCTAAGGCCGGCAGGGAACCAGAAGCCCAAGGCCGAAACCCATGCCCCTCCGGGAGCATGTTTTAAATGTGGAAAGGAAGGACACTGGTCCTGAGCCTATCCACAACCACGGCCACCAACTAAGCCTTGCCCTATCTGTCAGCTCCCGGGACACTGGAAGTCAGACTGCCCCAGCTTCCCCAGGGTGCCGGTTCCTCAAAACAGACACACTGGCGTTACTCAGCCGGCAGTCACCCTCAGTAGGGAGGAGCCTGCTTTCCAGGAGCCGACCTCCGAGGGAACTCCATTCTCCAGGCTATTAGGGCTGCTAGACAACTAGTGGGGCCCTGGCTTTCCGACTCCGGTTACCCTTGCCGAGCCTAGGGTCACAAGACATGGGGGCTACCTCCTCCGCTCTTCCTTCTTATTCTGGCCGTCTTACCCCTTCCCAGGTCTTGGTTATGGGAATCGATGGGACCCCGAGTATCCCCTACCAAACCCCACCACTCATGTGCTCATATAACTCCACTCCATTCACCCACTCTTTTTAGTAATCCCCACCTGCCCAGTTCCCCTTCTGGGGTGAGACATCCTTTCAAAGCTGAAGGCCGTCATAACCTTCCCCACCACCAGCCCACACAGCCTCTTTCTCCTAGCCCTCAATACTCTGCCTCAGAATTCCAGACCCTCCAGTCTACCCCCGGGGTACGGTTCAAGGATGACTCGGCCTTCAAGCATAACCTCCTCATCCTCCCTGAAAAGCAAAGGTACCAGATAATCCAAGACATCCATAATTCACTCCACATTGGGCCTAAAGCCTTATACCGATTCCTCAACCCACTTTTCACCCTCACCATCTCCTCAGTACCATACAGGAAGTCCAGTCCTCATGTACTGTCTGCGCGAAAACTAATTCCCAGGGTTCCTGTCATCCTCGGCGCCAGCTTTATCAGCTACACGGGTTCCTACCTGGCCAAGACTGGCTAATTGATTTCACCCATATGCCAAAGCATAAACAGTACCGGTATCTGCTAACCATTGTTGACACTTTTTCAGGCTGGATTGAAGCTTACCCCACAGCCTCTGAGTCTGCCGGGACAGTAGCCACTCATCTCATTCAAGACATCATCCCACGCTTTGGACTCCCGGCTACCATACAGTCAGACAACGGCCCAGCCTTTATCTTCAAAGTCACTAATGCCGTTTCTACCTCTCTAGGAATTCAGTGGAAGCTACACGCCGCCTACCATCCTCAGTCCTCTGGTAAGGTGGAATGGGCCAATGGCCTAATAAAGGAGCATCTGACCAAGCTCATACTTGAGCTCCGCCAATCCTGGGTAACCTTGCTTCCTATCGCCCTCACCAGGTTGAGAGCAAGCCCCCGGGGCCCATCACAGCTTAGCCCGTTTGAGCTGCTGTACGGTCACCCCTTCCTACTTTCAACTCCCCCACCACCAGAGACCACTCCTCTAGACAGCTACCTCCCCTACTTTACTCTCCTTCGCAGCCTTCTCCGAGAACACGCCAACGCTTCTCTTCCCCAACCCACCCAGCCATCTGGAAATACACAGAAAGTCTCCCCCGGGGACTCAGTTCTTATCAGGTCCCTCTCCCCAAAGCCCCTCACCCCCAAGTGGGAAGGACCATACACAATCCTCCTTACCACTCCATCAGCTATAAGAGTTGCTGAAATCCCATCTTGGGTCCACCTGTCTCGGGTAAAAAAGGCCCCTCATGGACCCTCCTTATGCTGGAAGGCTGTTCCTACTGGCCCTTTATCTGTCAAACTTACCAGGGCCTAGCAGCCACACCCCCTACAGATGGAGATTCTTCCTAACTGAAAACTATACCAAAACCACCTTCATCTGTAATACCCCTCCATACAGCCACAACCATCTTCTTGCAACTTCCGACTGCCCCGCAGCCGGATGCCAAAGGGCCATATATCTGAACTTCACCAAATTCCATAACATCCATACTGATATACCCCTCATGTGCTTCAACCATGACCAACCATCAGGAGCATGCAATAATACTCCTTGGCGCTCCTGCATGGGATGTACTTGGATGAACTGTCGACTACATATAGCCGTCAAGTCCACAGTACCTGCCCGATCTCAGCTCAAAATCATCCCAGACATAGACGGAGAAGGAAACACCATTATCGGTTCTACACGGTATTCCATTCTCATACCTGACCCCTGGGACAACCGGTGGAAAAGCCCCCAGAAAGCTGCCGTGTATGACCACAAAGATACCAAATATCCCTCTTCCCATCTGTACATCTGGCGGGCATACGTACGTGCAGTCCACCAAGTCCACTCTGATATTAGCCTACAAGAAAAATCTCTGAATGACCAATTGCAACCACATTCGTCTCCGTTTTCCTGGTTAACTTTTCTCCAAGAAGGAATCAAGTTAGCTAACGTCTCAGGACTAACTGACCTAACTTCATGCCTCATGTGTGCCTTCTTAGGACAGACTCCCTTCATTGCAGTCCCTTACCCCATCCCTCTCAACCTTTCAGCCTCAACTTCTTCCTTCTCCCCCGTCAGGGAAGTCGATCTCTACACTCCACCTGATTTTGAACAGCTACCTGTGTGCTATTCCCTAGGCCGAAACTTCCCTAGCTGTAACAGAACTATACTGGTAACCACTAATATAACAGCCCCACGAGGAACATTTTTCTGGTGTAACAGGACCTTAACAAAAACTCTCTACATTGGCCTTTCCTCATCTCTTTTATGCCTCCCAGTAACCCTAGTCCCTCGACTCACTATATATTCTTCAGCCGAATTCCAGATGCTGCAAGCTCCCCATCGCCGCACCCGACGAGCTGCCTTCCTACCCATTGCCATTGGAGTCTCCCTTGCTGGTTCAGCACTTGCAGCAGGATTAGGGGGAGGGGCACTAGTCCACTCTCACCTGGCCATAGCCCAACTGACCTCACAACTCCAAGCGGCTATTGATGACTCTACTGAGTCTTTAGCATCACTCCAACGACAGATCACCTCAGTTGCCCAAGTTGCCTTGCGGAACCGAAGAGCCCTAGACCTGCTCACTGCTGAACGAGGAGGGACCTGTATCTTCCTACAAGAAGAGTGCTGTTACTAATCAATGAATCCGGCCTAGTAGAAACCCGAATCGAGAGCCTCCAGAAACTCAAAACTAGCCTGCAGAGTCAGAAGTTCTCGGCTGAAGCCACAGCGTGGTGGTCTTCCTTTATGTATACCCTCTTGTCCCCATTGCTTGGGCCCCTAGTAGCCGTTTGCCTAATCTTACTTATTGCTCCTTGCTTTCTATAGTTCATACAGCGGCGCTTTCAAGAACTGACTCGAGTCACCATCCACCAGATGCTGCTCCAACCCCACCCTGAACGAGTGCAAGAAACAGACCTCTCCCTGAACATCCAGGCTCCTTAAGAAAAGAGACCTCTTCAGAGCCCCCCGTCGACCCTTGTCAGCAGGAAGTAGCCAGATCGATTCCGCCGCCCTTTTCCTTTTTAAGGAGTCGGGAATGTTCGGTAGAAAGTCCCGCCATCTTTCCCCCAGGTTTCTTGCCCCCACCCTCCCCCCAGGCTTCCTGCTGCCCTGAGAAAAGCCCGCCAAGCCTGCTCTGTTCTGCCCAACAACTACAAGCAGCCAATCATCGCAGCAGGAAAGCCCGCCAAGCCTCGGCCTATCCTGAACCGACACGTAACCCTCTGAGCCACCTCAGCAGTCTGCCCAGAGACAGACAGCCTATCCTAAGCTCCTACGACACTCCGCCAGCCCTGTGTCCACGCCCCGTCCACCCCCCTATAAAACCCTCCTACCCCAGCTGCGCAGTCGCAACCAGCCCCGATCTCCTTCCTTTCCTGGCCTGCCCGCTGGTCCCAATAAACCTGAACTCGGCTTCCAACCCTCGAGCTGTTATTTGGGGTCGGGTACCGGACAGGGGTCTACAAGGGGGTCGCACAATATACAAGCTCCATTTAGAGTTTTCTGCACTAAACTATTGTTAAAAAAAAAAAAAAAAAAAAAGGCCAACTCCATCACTGAGTTAATGTCAGCCTTGACATTAAGAATGATTAATGTGGGGCTGGGCGCGGTGGCTCAAGCCTGTAATCCCACCACTTTGGGAGGCCGAGGCGAGTGGATCACAAGGTCAAGAGATCGAGACCATCCTGGTCAACATGGTGAAACCCCGTGTCTATTAAAAATACAAAAAATTAGCTGGGCATGGTGGTGCGCGCCTGTAATCCCAGCTACTCAGGAGGCTGAGGCAGGAGAATTACCTGAACCCAGGACGCGGAGGTTGCGGTGAGCCAAGATGGTGCCATTGTACTTACTCTAGCCTGGGTAACAAGCGCGAAACTCCGTCTCAAAAAAAATAAAAATAAAAAAGATTAATGTGGCAGCTGTTTCCTTCTGTTATTGATCTTTTTACTGACCCTTGCCATTGTGCTTTGTCAATGACTAAGTATCTTCCCTCAACCACTCTTTTTTTTTTTTTTTTTTGAGACGGAGTTTCGCGCTTGTTACCCAGGCTGGAGTGCAATGGCGCGATCTCGGTTCACTGCAACCTCCGCCTCCTGGGTTCAGACAATTCTCCTGCCTCAGCCTCCTGAGTAGCTGGGACTACAGGTGTGCCACCATGCCCAGCTAATTTTTGTATTTTTAGTAGAGATGGGGTTTCACCATGTTGACCAGGATGGTCTCGATCTCTTGACCTCGTGATCTACGCACCTTGGCCTCCCAAAGTGCTGGGATTACAGGCGTGAGCCACCGTGCCCGGCCCCCTCAATCACTCTTATCTGAAGTCATCCTCATCTCTCAGGGACTTTCAGCACCATCTGTCAGCCACACACTTTGACTCTGTCTTCAGTGACCATTTTTGTTGACTTTTGTCTCTTCTGGCCTTTCCACGGTGGCTTGGCTTTGAATCTCATACTAATTAGCTCAGTAGTGATTACAGCACTGGTTTTGAGAGCAGCCTGTTGTTTTTTCTTATCTAAGAGAATTTTTTCTTTCTCTTTATCTGGAAGCATTAGCTTGCTGGCTATGCTGACTTATGTCATTGACATCAGATCAGTATCCTAAATCTGATCCTAGGATTCCCATCTACAGTTTTCCCACGCAAGCCAAGGGAAGAGACACACTCGATTAAGACCTCATACTCTTTCCTATTTGGCTGTTTTTTCTCCTCTTGGAGAAAGAGTTTCCCCAAAATACTATATGAAGTATGAAGTATTATTTTGTTAGCCCATTAATTTAGTTTTATATACTGTGCACAAACTTTACATATAATTTTAATAGGCTCAGTCATCTTTTTTCTTCAGTTTTTCATTGAATTTTATCTGACAGACTATTTAAGTTAAATAATTAGATATAGTTAGAAGATACTTTCCTTTAGGGATGAAAATCTACCAGAATGAATTTGTTACAGCTAAGAGTTTGTTACTTACCATCGTAACTGCTGTAAAATAAAATAAATCTATAAGAATTTTAGGAGCAAGGCTTTTTAAAGTCTACTATTTAGTTTAGCGATTATTCTAAATGTTAATCTCAAAAATTATTTAAGTTAAATAATTAGGCATAGTTAGAATATACTTTCATTTAGGCACCAAAATCTACCAGAATGAATTTGTTACAGTTAAGAATTTTTGTTAATTACCATCATCACTGCTGTAAAGTAAAATAAATCTAAGAATTTTATGAGCAAGGCTTTTTAAAGTCTACTATTTAGTTTAGCAATTATTCTAAATATTAATCTCAAAAATTAGACTAAGCGATTTTCCCTTTTAGGAAAAGATATAAATAATTATAGTAAAAATTTTAAATTAAGATATAGACATTTATTCTGTTGGATCCCAAATATCTTATTAGGGAATGATCTTCTCTCTTTGTGTGATATTCTCTAAAACACTCACAGAAAGATACAAAGTATAAATCTGAATTTTTTTTTTACCAGAAGTGAAAAAAGTAAAATATATTTGGTATGATTAATTGGGAGTTTGTATTTCCTCTGCAATCCAGAAATATTATTATTTTAAATATTTGCAATATCATTAATTTTGAAGTTTTTAGTTTAAAAAGACATTCCTGAAAGCCCTTAATTTGTGAACATTTGCTACTACAAAATTTTTAATAATAAGCAATTGAGAGAGAAAAGTCCTTGAATTTATGCCTGTCAACTCTTTTTTTTTGCTTTTTTGGTTGAACATCAAATTTTAATCTTGAAACCTTTTACCAGTCCTCAAATTATTCACATGAAAAGGAATGATAAATTGCAATTTTATCATTACCATATCACTGTGTAACAAGCCCTTGTTACAAAATCTCCCTCTACTCTCTCCAGAAAACCAATAGAAAACCCACACATTATATTACCTAATGATCTATGAACAGATGAAATTTTAACCAACTTTATACCAGGAAACTATGAACAGAGATACTTCAATCACATAGCTTAAAATATGGAGAAAAGACAGGTAAAAAAATTATTGTAACCTGTGGTAGTCTTTTTCTTTTTAAAATATTTATAAAATACACTAATTTCCCAAAATAAAGAATATTATGACACATTGGTGTCAACTTACACAGATGAAAGCTGATGTCAGCTTTTTTCCTAACTAAAGTTCATTTCACCAAACCCTTATATATTACATGAATATCCAAGTAAAGTATTCTTTAAAAATTCAACACACAGGAACATAATATACAGTGTTCAATTTTTTTTTAAAGGTTAATTTAGGAATGATTTCATTTTCAACCATATAATGTATCTTTAAGACCATGAAACCTCTTGCCATTGCAAGAAGACTTTTCAGTTCATGTTTTTATTTCCCAGTTTTAATTCTTAAAAGAAAAAAAAAGATGAAAGGGTTTATTATCCATTTCCCATAAGAAAACTGTGGTAAGGATCTTACTCACTACCAGGCTGTCTTCCCTCCTTTTGTTTTCCAGATTACCCAGATCCATGATTGCATGGCACCATAATGAAATCGGTGGGAGAGGCCAATGACATCAAAGAATGGATATAAAAAGACAGGCTCAGCTGGGTCCTGCCACAATTGTAAGGTGTGGGCACATGCGCTCCCACCAAGCCTTCCAGAGCTCCACAGTAACAGGAGCAGTCTCCTGGTTAACTCATCCTTGATGCCTGCTGGGAGGACATAAAAGAGCATTTTCACTAATGACTTGGGTAGTGGCTAATGGATGCCTTAGCCAGAGAGGGAGCGAGTGCACTCAAGAGAACTGGGTCAGCAGTGGCTTTGGGATAGAGAACACTGTCGATTTTTACAGCCCCTGAATTGGTCGATTCTGAGTACAAACTCACCTTAACAGGAAATCGCAATGAAATATACACACCATGCACAGTCTATATCACTGTGGGAATCCAGTAACACATGCAAGACATGAGGAAAGAATCGCAACAGATGAATATGAACTTTTCACAGTGTTTCTTATAGCCTTTGACCGAACACTTACCACCACTATCTCACAAATGTTTCACTTGTGGCCTGGGCATGCAGATCAGTTGGGGTAAAATGGGAAATGATGCTTCATTGCCATTCTCAGACAGTGAGTTCGACTTAAATTTCCCCTACTTTCCAACCAATCAATTGAGCTACTTCTGCTATAAAACTAAACATATTTCTGAATACATTTTTTTTCAAGGGTTGTGTTGTGTTCTTTCTCATCGTTTCAGTGATTTCATTCTAGGAAAATTAAAAATCCACACAATTAAATTGAGGACCAGATCTCTAGGGTGATTCTAACCAAACTAGAAAGACAGGGAATCACTAACTTCTCTTATCTCAAGTTTCTCTCTACCCCAGGCCCTAATTGATACTCATTTGTATGTCTGGTTTCCCAAAGAAGAAAACCAAATTAGAGAACTGGCATTTCTAGCTTAAAGAAGCAAAACATAACCCCAAAAATATAGTGGTAGCAGGGAGGAGGGGAGGGGAAGATGCATTCATTCTATGTCAAAATGAATCTCTTGCTCTCAACAGGAGATAATCCAGCTTCTCCTTAGCTATCATTTCATAAATTAATAATTTCTTAAAATTATAATCCAAAGAATGTATCTCTTATAAGAAAAGTTCAAGTTTAAAAAAGCAAATAAATTAGTTAAGCCTTGTAAACAATTGTCCATTTTAGTTACATATCTTAAAAAAAAAAAAGGTTTCTCTGTGTAGTAAATCAGACAGTACAAGGCATGCCTTATACCTCCGAATCCAGAGTGATAAAACCCACACAAACACCTTCTTCACTCTGCTGGCTGGGGGAACTGTGCTGGGGCATGGGAGTCATGCACCAATCCTTTGCCCATCTCCTGACCATCTGGAAGTCCACAAATGTGCTCTTTCTGTTAAGTTGCTTTGTGCTATATTGTCATGTGAAGGGATTTTAAGCCTTCTCAGTGTCAGTCTCCTCATATGTTTTCCACGAAGCTTCCTGGGAAGAGGCCAGTTTTCCCATTACGTTGTAATGTGCCTTTGAACCAGCCATCCTCTTGCTTTTTATGAACAAACACAATATCTCCTTCTTTAAATTCAAGTTCTGCCTCACTCTGAGGAGGATAGGAAACCACCACCCTGTACCTTTCACAAACAACAGGTCTCAACTCATTTAAGACAGGACCCAGAGAGGAACAGGCCTGGCGAGGTGGTGGAGCGATGGGGACGGCAGAGTCCAGGGAACTTGCCTCCCTGTGAAAAGCATCCTAGGCCAGGGCTACTCCCGCCACTGCAGTCATGACCGGTCCGTCCCCATCCACAGGGCAGGAGCCCGCCCTGCCGTGGCCACATCCTGGTGGCAGTTCAGGCCCCACAGCTCCTTGGAGAGGCAGCTCTGCACTGCCCAGCTCCACTTCCAGGGTGGGCGATGCTGGAGGAGACAAGCGGGGCTTCCGTTAAGTGGAGGCACCAGAAAGCAACTTCAACAGACCCTTTTTTTCTTTTTTGCTACCCTTGTCTGGTTTGGT